CCTTGGAAACCCTGTACAGGGTCGCTACAAGTCGGAACCAACTCCACGGCACATATCCATCAATCATCTGTGTATAGTCTATGGAAATCCTCAAAATTTTAAGACCAAGAATCTCTTTCCCAGGCTCAGATAACTGTTGAATGGTTTACCTTGGTATTTTTCCTTCATCATAGCAAAATGATGCCACATTTTAATGCATGGTTCTTTAGCTTTCTTTGTGAAGTCAATAACAAGAGAGCCATTTCTTTTCCTTAAGTAAATTGCATATGTATGTTCTACTTATTTCAATGTTTCTCTTACTGCTTAGAGCTTTGAGGTTAACCCTCGTTTTTCTCTTACAATTCCAACAAACTTGTCACTAGAGCCAGTAGGTACAGATTACATACTCCATTACTACCTATTTGCTTCTGGCATATCATGGATGTTCTTCATATATATGTTGTTGTTGTTAAGTGCTGTCAAGTCAATTCTGACCCATAGCGACCCAGTATAGGATTTCCAAGGAGTAGCTGGTGAGCTTGAACCACCAACCTTGCAGTTCAAACAACTTTGCGGTCTGATGCATTAGCCCACATCACCATACCACGATTCCTTCATATATATAACATCAGTTTATTCAAACATTTTTCACTACTTCCGACTAAACAGAATAAATAATAAATACCACTCCAGATCTAATAAGACTTTTATTTCCTTATTTGAGTGAAAACTGCCTTAATATTTTAATCCCTCTTCTCTAGAATATTTCGAATCAATTTATAAAATAACTAACCAAACCTGTTGCTATTGAGTCTATTCTGACTCATGATGACCCCATGTATTATGCAGCAGAAGTGTTCCATAGGGCTTGCTTGACCTTAATCTTTACAGAAGTGAACTGGCCCGCTTTTCTCTTGTGGCTCCACTGAGTGGGTTCCAACTGTCGATCTTTAGGCTACTAGCTGATAGCAAACTGTGTGTGTCACACAGAGATCTAAAATAAGTTTTATTTGCATGTGTATTGAATAAAAGCAATATGATCTATGTGATGTCAATTAGAGGAAAAAGCTGAGCTGCATTTTAAATTTTTCTTTCTAATAACACATATAATACAAGTGTAAGACTTGTTATATACTTTGCGAGGTTTTGTGCAAAATGAAAATTCAGGGACACTTTTGCAAAGTTAATGAATAACTTTATATATTAACTAATCAAAATATTAAGTACAAAATCAGAATATTAATCCAAGTACAAGAATATGCTGAGTGTATGCATGACGCTGACTTTGGAAGTTAATATTTTACTTTACAAACATATCCACATCCCAAATAACTTATCACATAGTTTCATAAATAGGGTTTTGGCATAATATATTTTTGTTGTTGTGTACTATTCAGTCAATTCTGGCTCATAGAGATCTAATAGGACAGAGTTGTTGTTGTTAATTGCTTTCAACTTTGCATTTCAGACTGTCAGTGAGGTCATGCTCTTATGCTATGGTGCCACACCAGGACTGTAGGGACAGAGTAGTGGAAATGCCCTTATAGCAAAGGCTGTAATGCTTATGGACACCTACTTCAAAATTGTTCTCCTATGGAGTGGCTGATGGGTTTGAACCACTGACTTCTTGGTTATTAGCTGAGCTCTAAACTACTGCACTTCATTCTTCTTGGATCAACTATCCACACTCACAGAAGCAGCAGTCAAGAAATCAAATGATGTGTTGCATTAGGCAAATCCACTGCACAAGACCTTTTAAAGTGTTGAAGAGGAAAGATGTCAGCTTGAGGACTAAGGTGCGCCTGACCCAAGCCTTGGTATTTTCAATAACTTCATATGCATGCAAAAGCTGGACAATGAATAAAGAAGACCGTAGAAGACCTTTTGGTTATAGTGTTGGAGGAGAATTTTGAAAATGCCATAGGCTGCCAAAAGAACCAATAAGTACATTTGGAAGAAGTGCAGCTAGATTGCTCTTTGGAGGCCAACATGGCCAAACTTCGTCTCTAATACTTAGGACATACTGTCAGGAGGGACTAGTCTCTGGAGAAGAATATCATGTTTGGTAAGGTGGAGGGTCAGAGAACAACAGGAAGACCCTCAGCGAGATGGATTGGCCAAGTGGCAATGTTGATGGGCTCAAGCGTGGCAGCAGTAGTGAGGTTGGCCCAGAATTGGCCAGTGTTTCATTCTGCTTTGCATAAGGTCGCTATGAGTTAGTTCCATCTCGATGGCACCTAACAACAACAAGATCAAATTGCTGCACCACCAGACTTCCTTTGGGATATAGTTGTTATTGTTAGGTGCAGTCAGGTCAGTTGTGGCCTTATACACAACAGAATGAAACCCTGCCACAACTTGTACAATCTTCACAATTGCTGCTACCACTGTGCCAATCTAGCTCACTGGGGTTGTCCCTCTTTTTCACTGACCTTCAACTTTACTGAGCATGATGTCTTTCACCAAGGGCTGGTACCACCTGATAATATGTCCAAAGAATGAACATCTTGGACTCCTAGGGAGCATTTTGTTTGTACTTCTTCCAACACAGATATGTTTGTCCATGGTAATGTCAATATTCTTCTCCAACACCATAACTCAAATGCATCATGCATATGAGGCTACTGATAATACCATGGATTGGGTCAGATGCACTGTAGTCCATAAACTAACATCTTTGCTCTTTAACATTTCAAAGAGGTCTTGTAGAACACATTTACCTTGAAGTATGTTGTTGTTGTTAAGTGTCCTTGAGTCTGTTCCAACCCCCAGCTACCCTGCATAAGGTTTCTGAGGGTTACGAGTCGAGCTGCTAGCCTCAATTTCAGCAATTCGAAACTACCAGAGGTTCCACGGGAGAAAGATGAGTCTTTTTGCTCCTGTAAATATTTACAGCTTCATAGTGTTGCTGTGAGCCAGAACTGACTCCATGGCATATAACTACTACCACCACCACCATAAAAAATAAAAGTGAATGAGCATATTATGAGCATTATGGCTATGCTTTTGGCACAAGATAGTCCAGTGAATAGTCATATATGGCTAATGTAAAACCAACTATATTAACTGTTGTACAATGTGGTGGATCAACCTGGATTCTAAAGTAGGCATGGCTAACAACCTCTACCAGCTTTGAGTCATTGAGCACATTTCCTTACTTCTTTGTACATCAGTGTACTTATATTTAGTAATAATATTGCTGTTGTTATTAAGGACTGTCAGTTTCAACTTTTAGCAACCCTGTATAATGTTTCCAAGGTGTTTGCATCTTCATGGGAGCTGAAAGCCTCATCTTTCTCCTGTGGAATGACTAGTGGAATCAAATGGTGAAACTTTTGGTTTTCAGTCCAATGCTTACTGTAAGAGCTACTACACTCCCATACTCATGATAATAGAATATTATTGTATTTCAACTTATTTAAATAATAAATCAAACCTGTCTCTCATACTTCAGACATATTGTCAGGAGGAACAAGTTGCTAGAGAAGGATAGCATGTTTGGTAAGGTGGAGGGTCAGAGAAAAAGAGGAAGATCCCCAGCAAGATGGATTGGCAAAGTGGCTTATCATTAGACTGAAGAGTGGCAACAGTTGTGAGGTTGGCCAAGGATCAGGCAGTGTTTCCTTCTGTTGTGCATAGGCTCGCTATGAGTCGGTACCGACTCGATGCTACCTAACAACATCGACAACTGCCACAAAGACTAGAATTACCCAATTGGGTTACCAAAACTGTAAATCCTTACAAAGCAGACTGCCACATCTTTTTCCAAAGGGTGACTAGTGGGTTCAAATCAATGAGCTTTGGGTTAGCAGCTGAGTGCTTTAAAAACTTAACCATACCTGGCATGTAGCAAACATTCAAAGTTTATTTATTTTGTTATTTCTTCTTTCTTTGACCTCAGTAGATGAAATGCCAGGTGTACTTTTTTCTCTTTGATGCTTGGAAATTAATGTTTAGTTTAATATTAAACATACTTAAAGATATTATTAGCATATAATTCATTGATATCTGGTTGACCAGGCATCCAGCTCATGATGATAGAAATTAAAGATAGAAATTTTCTACAAGCAAATTGAAATGGTTTTAATTTTTAAAACCTTTGTTTGAACTTTTTATTCTTTCATCATTTGTCTTTTTGTAGAATCAAAGATCAAAATCACCTGGTTAATAGACCAGTCCAGTTACTTGGGTTATAGTTAATAAGTTACATATTTTCAAATCTAATTTAATCCAACCAATCTTAACATTGTAGACCTTCTTAATTACATTTAAAGGCAAACTTGTTTTGGAAGTATTCTATTGAGATTAATGTAAGTTATTTGCTTTTATGTTACTGAATAATAATGCTTTTATATTGATGTGAATTATGTATGCTTAGTATCTGTTTTACTGCTTTTGGAAGAGATATACTGATAAACAATCTATGAACTAAATCTCTACTAGCATGAAATACCATTTGAAATATTTAATTTAAATATCAGATTTAGGACCATATCAACAATAACCATACTCTTTATTTTTTCTATAAACTTTTGTACATTAGACAGTTTCTAAAAAAACTATCAATTTTTAGAAACAAAAACTTAAAACAGAATTCTCTAATCATCTGTGGTTTCCAAGTAAGGATGTTTTAATGCTACTAGACATTTTATGTTTAGGACTACAAGAAAATATTTAATAACTGAGCAGTATAGATACTTTAAGGAGCTCTTGTTTCATGGTGGTTACGAATCAGCTGCTAACTTCAAGGTTAGAAGTTCCAAATTACCAGAATTACTAAAGAAAGATGAGGCTTTCTGCTCCCATAAAGAGTTCAGCCTCAGAAACACTATACATAGTAACTGTGAGTGGGAACTGACTCCATGGCACACCATAGATATGTTTGGTGGTGGTAAAAGTTGAAAAGAATATGAAAAAATCAGTAGTACTAAATATCATACAGCTATACAAACATATTATTTACCTGTGACTCTCATTACATAATATCCATATTTAATCCTTTTTTTTTTTCCTTATACCAGACAGTATTACTGAAGTCTTCACTAACATCTATGTGACCAGTTTTGGCCCTGTCTCAGATACGGATATGGTGAGTCTTTTTTTTAATAACAAACTTTAAAAAAAAAAAAAAAAAAAAACTGTAATGAGAACTGTGAGAAGAGATTTATAGTAATAAGTATTTCTAGTGTTATAAAATCATATATCTATCCATTCCTATTTAGTATGTTCTGATACATTGCGTTAGGACATTCATTTGATTGTAGATTCTCATGTCCAGTTTGAATGTTCAGATCAGCCTTGTGCTTACATTTATATCCTCTTGTGTACTAGTCTCTTGTCTAACTAAGTGCAAAAGCAGTTTATTGAATGATACAAAAAATATTACTGAGCATTATTAAAGAGTCTGTGTCATCATTCATTAAGTCACGATTGTTTCATAAAAAATGAATCATAAAGTATTCATTCATGGATGATATAATAAATGAAAATCTTTTAATTGGCATTATGTAATCTATCTGAAATTCATGTTATCAGCACAGTCTATATACATAGTTCAAAAACAAAAACAATAAAACCTAAACCAGTTGGTATCAAGATGATTACAGTGAAATTCCTGATTGGTAGAAACGATATGGATTTGATAGGAAAGTTTGGAGGTAGAAGTCCACTCAGAGGTACCACACAAGAAAGACCTGGGGTTCTATTTCTGAACAAATAAGCCATTGAAATTCATGTGGAGCACAGCTCTACACTGATGCAGATGTGCCATCAGATACACTGTAAACCCAATTTGTAAAGTAGTTCTGACTCATGGCAGCAACCCATGTGTTATAAAGTAGAACTGCTGCAAAGAGTTTTCTTGGCTCTAATATTTTTTAAAAATTGGTGAAACTGTACACAGACAAACATACACTTATTCAACAATTTCTACAATGTTCTTCACATATTATCCTTGCTCTCTTCCCAAATTGTTTTATTCCCATTAATTTAGACTCACTGACCACTAAACTTTTCATCCATGTTTTAAAGTTACTGTTGTCAATTTTATTTCATGTATGTAATCATTTAATAGAGCACAATGCCTAAGTAAAACATTATTTACCAATTGAAGTAAGCTGTTGGGTTTAAAGATAACTTCAGAGGATGTTGTTGTTGTTGTTAAGTGCCATCGAGTCGGTTCCGACCCATAGCGACCCTGTACAGGGTTTCCGAGGCTGTAAATCTTTACGGGAACAGAACGCCTCATCTTTCTCCCGTGGAGCGGCTGGTAGTTTCGAACTGCTGACCTTGAGGTTCGCAGCCCAATTCGTAACCACTACGCTACCAGAGCTCCAGAGGATAGTTTTGATTAAAGTTTGCAAGATTATCTGAGGGCAGTTGTTTCAGTGGTTCCTCCGATCTGAATGGGTCCAGTCTATCTGAATTACGTAAGAATTTGAAAATTTGATTCCACATTTCCCCTATTTTGATCAGGATCCTTCTAATGAATCCTTGATCAAAATGTTCAGTAATGGTAGCTGGACAGCATGCAGTTCTTCTGGTCTTGTGGCAAAGAAGATTTTAGTTCATAGAGGTAATTCGACTGGTTCCTCTGATTGCTAAATCTCCTTCTGTTACTGCTGCACATGAATAGAGACTCTTGGTTAATTAATGTTGCTGTAATAGAAATACCACAAGGAGATGGCTTTAACAGACAAACATTTAGTTCCCCCTAATGTAGGAGGTTAACGAGCTCTGGTAGCATAGTGGTTACGAATCGGGCTGCTAACCTCAAGGTTGGCAGTTCGAAACTACCAGCTGTTCTGCAGGAGAAAGATGAGGCTTTCTGCTCCCATAAAGATTTGCAGCCTCGGAAACCCTGTACAGGGTCACTATGAGTCGGAACCAACTCCACGGTACTTAACAACAACAACAGCAACAGATGTAAGAGGTTAGAAGTCCAAATTCTAGAGTGCTGGCTCTTTGTTGGCTCTGGAGAAAGGTCCTTGTTCTCTTTCAAAATTTGTAGGCCAGTCATTCCTTGGAGATCTCCATGTGTCTTAGAAGCAGTCTTCCCTTGGATCTAGGAGCTTCTCAGTTCAGGAACCCCACAGGCCAAAAGGATGCACTCCGTTTCCAGTTCTTATTTCTTGAAGATAACAGGTCCCTCTTATTTCTGCTCCCTTCTCTCTTTCATGTCTTCTAAAATAAAAGGCGTTAGCAGCCACATCCCAGGGAAACTCCCCTTACATCATGTGACTGGATTAGTGGTGTTGTGCGTGACCTTTAATCCTTTGATTGGCTTTTCACCTCAGATCACATCATGGAAGATCATTATATAACTTCCAAACCATAGCATCATGGAGTAGACAAGTTGGCACGTATTTTGAGAAAATAGAATTCATTCTATGATAGTCAACAATTATATCATTGATAGTTGCTAATAAGCTTTTTGTAAGACCCCAGGCACTATTCAGTGATCTAGTAGTTAGAACAGAAACTCTAAAGGCAATATTAGACTTACTGCCTTGACTGTCTCATTAAACTATATTATAACCCTAATCCTTCTAACCAAGAGCCCTCGTGACACTGTAGGTAAGTACTAGACTTCTAGCCACAGGTTGACAGTTCAACCTACCAACTACTCCGAGGAAGAAAAGTGCGCTTCCCACTCTTGTGGTTTTACAGGAAACATGCAGTGCTAGAAGGTAGAATCAACACAATGGCAGTGGGTGGTGGAGGTTGTGTCCCATAGAATTATTACCCTAATTCTTTTAACCAAGGAAACGTATCCCAAGATGTTGTTTCATTATACCTAAGTACTGTCAGAAGCTTTTTAGCAATATCATTGGTTATGATCTTTCTAGAAACAGTGCCAAGACTTCCTACTATGCATTATGTGATGGGTTTGAGTCAGTTGAACAGAAATTGTTTGTGTCACCCAGGTTAGTAGTTGATAGGTTAGTAGTTGATTAGGTTAGTAGTTGATTAGGTTAGTAGTTGAATGCAAACTGTGTTACATATGAGTGGTGGTGGTTGTGGGCTGTTGAGTTGATTCCAACTCACAATGATCTTGTGTAGGATTTTCAAAGCTGTAAATCTTTACAGGAACAGAGAACTCCATCTTTCTCCTGCAGAGAGGCTGATAGATTCAAACTGCCGATTTTGTTATTAGCAGCCCAACTTGTAATTTGAATCTTGACCTACTTGAATTCTGTGGACCTGAAGTTTAATTGTTTTGTTTTGTTTCTTTCATATGAGATGAGCAATAGAGGGAAGTTGACTGGGTGGGCTAGAAACTCATGAGATAGAAACAAAAAGGATAATTATTGATTAAACATAAATAGTTTAGTTATCAATTTTCCATTTCTACTGGTGATTGCAGTTTCTGTAATAGGATATTTTGAAGATTTTTTTTTAATATAATTCTCTGACTTTAAGAAATTATAATCTGTACTTCAATGCATGATGACTATAAATTAAAAATAATTTAGCGTTGCGTAGATTTGGATATGATGTTAATGAAAAGACCGAATTGAGGTACTACATAGATCACTTTTTGAAAAGTAGTATTCCTTCCTTTTTTCTTTCCTCTTAGCCCTGCAAGCATGCTTTTAAAGTTATCTTTTTAGCAGGATTTATTGATGGTATACTCTTTACTTGTATGCATTTAAGATGACAGAGAACTAAAGGTTAATGCTAGAGTTAAAAATGATAAGTGAGTAAAAGGATTCTGTTCAGTCCCTAAACTGAATTTATTGGAATCAAGTAGCCTGGCAATATTTAAGTATTTATTCAATATTTTCATTTTTTAATAACATTGAGAAGATTATTTTGAAGAAGCTCTGAAAGACTTTGTTCACAAATGCTAGAAGTAAGTGTCAGGGACTGTACAGGGGATGGACAATGCTGGTTAGCTTAAGAGGATTTTAAAATTCTGAGTTCTAAAAAGGATGATGCAGTCTTTTTGTTGAAAACAGCAAAACTCAGAGTCTGAAGTGGGGAAAAAAACAAACAAACAAAAACTAAGTCTGTGTTAAGTATTTTGACAGATATAAGGTAGCCTTAAGGTAGCCTGAAAACGTTTGTAGCAAAATTCCATTATCTTTTAGTTCCATTTTCCACAAACTTTTTGAAGCCCTCTCATATATCCCACAGTAACGGATATGTAGCGGGTTCATCTACAAATGCTATAGATACAGTGCTGAAAATCCAAATGAATAGCAGAAAGATTGAAAGACTGACAGCTGCAGCAATGAGCAGGACTGTTAATGTTGGGAGCCTTTGGGCATTTTCTGTGCTCCTTGGATAGGTTAGAGAATATTCCTGATGTATTTTCATGCTAGTTTCTCATCATATTCTACCAGCCACATGCATCTCAAGTAACTGATATGGTTTAGAGAGTTCAGGATTTCAATTCCTAAGGAAAGATATCAGTCTTCCAGACCTATTGCTAACTATAGTATTCTGTAATGTATTTTTTAAATTGAAATACATTTTGATTAATCAATATCTTATGAATTTAACTCAATTTTCTTTCCCTGCTCAGACTGTGCCCCGCAGTCTCATCTACCCATGAGATTTCCCTTCTTCCAGGTCTGGTGTCTCTTTAGAGATCCACCTTTTTTATGGTTCTGACCTCTTAAGTCTCCTCATTTTTTAACTAACTTTGGTGGTTGAAAGTATGAGGTTGAGTTGATTCCCACCTTTGGGAAGGTAGTTGATTTCAAAACATTGTTAGTTCTTACAAGTTATTTCAAACTAGAATAGTAAGATTTACTTGCTTTTGTTTTTAATTTTGGATTGTAGCCAAAATTCTGGAGCAATGGGAAAAATCTTCACTGTAACCCTTATACTACACTTGCAACATTTAAGATTTTTACTTGAAATATTAACTTGCCTCTTTCTGTAGTTCAGTTTAAATGCACAGGAAAAAAAATGATGACAAAGATAAAATTATTCACTGTATATTCTAAACAGTTTGGTTGGCTGTAAGAACAATCTTTCTCTGGAGTTTGTCTTAGTTAATGCTCCTAAATATTAGTAAGATATCATGAGAATGAGCTGCCAAGTTCTATGCGAAATCAAGTAGAGAGACACAGAATTTTA